TAATTACTGCAATCGTTTGTTCACATTTCACATATTACTTTTATTTGTTCACACATTATATTCGTTTGATCACACATTATTTTCGTTTGTCCAGACCTCATTTTCGTTTGCCCACCAAACAGAAATTATTTATTAAAATAAAAACTCAAAATGTGAACAATTATTAACCTTCCACCGGTGGCGCCAAGTCTGACAGACCCGACGCTACTGTATTCGTTCGGCACTATTCGCGTTACCGCGATATATTGCTGTACGTCTGGGTACCTTCCTAATTTGATGTCTATTAGTCACGTTGCAGAGAGTGTGAGGATAGTTTGTATAGTTTGCGAAATATTGTGTGAAAAGTCTGACAGACCCAGCGCCACCGTTTGTGTTATAAGTTTCTGTATAGCGTTCAATTATTTACTTCGGTGCTTGTGTACTAAATAATTTCATTAGGTAAATTTTTGCTGTTGTAATAACTCAACTGGATCTATGATACAAAATTGAAAGATTGTATATTCGATAATTGATCGTTGTTGCAGGTATGAGTTACGAAAGGGAGCAAGCACGATTACGTAAACTTTGGGAAGAACTTGAACGTGAGGAGGTAGCTGACGATGATGAGGAGGAATTGGCTCAAGAAGAAGATATAGTGGAGAATAGAGACGCTGACAGTGAAACCGAAGAAGAAGCGGACAGCGACGAGGGTAATGAAGAGAATATTTCTGCAGTAACCTTACGAGTACCGCAGTTTCTTGGAAAAGACGGAACGTCCAAATGGCTAAAACGTTGCCCAAACAAAAGAGTGAGAACAAGAAGAGATAACATAATTCGCATCCATTTGCCAGGTGTCAGGGCAGTTGCGAAAAATGCGAAATCTGTTCAAGAATGTTGGTCACTATTCTTTACAGAAGAAATGCTCAATTCAATTGTTGACAACACAAACAAATACATATCGAACGTGATGTCAAAGTATACAAGAGAAAGAAATGCAAGAGTTACTGATATTGTTGAACTGAAAGCATTGTTTGGTTTATTATATTTAGCTGGTGTTTTAAAAAGTAGCCGCCTAAGTACTGAAGAATTGTGGGATAGAAACTCAACAGGTGTTGAAAGATTCTGGCTTACTATGTCCCAGCAGAGGTTTTTATTTTTATTGAGATGTTTACGTTTCGATGATCTAACAACGAGAGAGGCCAGAAAACAAATAGACAAACTAGCACCAATACGAGATATATTTGATTCCTTTGTTCAAAATTGTAAATCCGCCTACACAATTGGAGAAAACGCTACGATTGATGAGAAATTGGAGGCCTTTAGAGGGCGCTGCGGTTTCAAACAATATATTCCTAATAAGCCAAATAAATATGGAATAAAAATATTTGCACTAGTGGATGCCAATATGTTTTATGTTTCTAATTTAGAGGTTTACGTGGGCCAGCAGCCTGAAGGTCCATTTCGTGTACGTAATGACACCTGCAGTATTGTGCAACGAATGGTAGCTCCTATATCAGGGACCAATAGAAACGTAACGTGCGACAATTGGTTTACCACGTTTCCCCTCATAAATATTTTGCTAAGAGATCATAGGCTTACTTATGTTGGAACTGTAAAAAAAAATAAACCTGAACTACCTCAGGACTTTGTAAATACGAAACCACGTGCTCTATTTTCATCTATGTTTGGCTTCCAGAAAGACATTACCATTGTCTCTTATATTCCTAAAAAAGGTAGAAACGTAATATTAGCTTCTAGTCAACATCACGATGATGAAATTGATATGTCAACAAACGAAAAGGTGAAACCGTCGATCATAACATTTTATAACCAAACGAAAGGCGGAGTAGATACCTTGGATAAACTGTGCGCGACATACGATGTGGCTAGAAACACACGACGATGGCCCATGGTAATATTTTATGCCTTACTCAACATGGCAGGAACTAACTCGCAGATTATGTTTGCTGCCAATAATCCCGATGCAGCACCCCCAATAAGGAGACAATTCCTAAAGACACTTGCTATTAATTTATCAGAAGATCACTTGAAGCGTAGATCTTTACAGCAAAATTTGCCACGAGTAGTGCGAGAGCGAAGACAAGAAGTTGCGGGAACGTCCTTGAATGTGGTACAACCGGAAGAAATTCCTCAGGGAATAAGAAAGCGATGCCATTGTTGTCTAAAAGATTCCAAGACGAAATATTATTGTTTCAAATGTAAAAAGTTTATCTGTCTCTCACACTCTCAATTTCTTTGTTTACTATGTAGACAAACGTTTGAAAGTATAAACGTGTAAAGAACTCACATTGTAGTTATGATCACTGAAGGGATTTTTATTTTGTTTTGTTTATAATGCCTTTTTAATAGAATAACTGTTATTTTGTTACCTTTCTGTTATGTTTTGGGAAACAAGCAATAAAATTATTTTGTTTGGTAATTGTTGGGTATTTGTTCGGTACATCTAATGCAGTATATTATTGATCATAAATTACTTTAACTTGTATACACAAATGACCCGTAAATACAATAAGGTATACAAAAAAAAATTGGGTCTGGTAGACCCGGCGCCACCAGTCATGTAAAGAAAGGGGCCGCCACCGGTGGAAGGTTAATATAAATAAACGAAAATAAAATTCTTAAAGCAGTATTACACAAAAATTATATTTTACTAATTATAAATTAACGCAGGTTACCGGTTTCGGCTCAAGCTCAGGCCTAAAAGGAAGATAAATATGGTTCAAAACACATTAAAAATTTAAGCGAGTAACATACCTTCAAATAAAAAAATATCCTAATCTTATAGATTAGGGTTAGACACCAGATTAGATTTAGATTAGATTAGGAGTTGGACGTTGTTTGTCCTTGTCCACCGCGACCTTTTCAGATCTATTGTAAGGCTCCGTTTGTTTTAGAGTATGCCATCTAGATTGGTCTTTTTTATTAGACTTTCATGAACATGGCCGATGGTTCCTTGATAAACTGTCTGGCCTGTCTGTCTTGGATAGTTGTTCCACTGTTCCTGAGACTCTTTTTGCATCCATTGTTTGATGAATGCCTTGCTCAATGCCTTAGCAACTCCACAGAAGGATTAGGGGCCTGTCATCGCCTTATCTGAGCCTTCTCAGGCTAATTTGTCGGCCTTTTCGTTGCCCTGATATCCCTCATGGCCTGGCACCTAGGCTAGGGTCACCTTGTTTTGACTACTTAGCTCTGCCAGGTCTTCTAGACAGTCTATCACCAGTCGTGATTTGATTTCTGGTGAGAGAATTGCCTTTAGAGCTGCTTGGCTATCAAAGTATATGGCAATAGTTTTGCCAGATACTTGCTGATTTAGTTTTTCTCTTGCACAGTGTTGTATGGCTATTAGTTTAGTCTGGAATACAGTTGCATATTTTCCTAAACTCAGCGAAATCGTTGTTTTTGACTTGGGTTCATAAATTCCTTCACCGCCTCCGTCCTTGGTTTTTGAACCGTCTGTGTACCAGACGAGTTCAGCCTGTACGGGAGGTCACTGTTTCCAGGATTCTCGGTTTGGTATTTGAATTTGAAAATTTCTTTCAAAATTGTATGTGGTTATGGCTCTATCAGTAGGCATTGCTAGAATATTATCCCTTTATATTTTATATTGGGTTTTGTCCCTGCATTAGCCTGTGAATAGCTGACCTGGTTTCTCCTTGTAAGAAGATGTGCAGTGGCGTGAGATTTAATAATACCTCCATTGCTGCAGTTGGCGTAGTGCGTATAGCCCCAGTAGCACTTAGGCAAGCCGCTGAATGCCAGTGAGTTGGCCTATTGCTTTTGCCTGCGCAGTTTTGGTTACCCACGCCACTGGGCTATGTATTATTTTGGCGTTTGGACTCCAGTTTTTTTTCCCACAAATTCTTCTACAGCTTACGAGAGCTATTATAGCTTTGTATGTGAGTTTTTGAGATGTTGATTCCACGTCAGCCTAAGGTCAAATATGACTCCGAGGTATTTGGCTTCTGTGACGAATGGGATAACTATGTTGTTTAGTACTAGACTGTGCCTGCAAATCGTCCCCTGACCATAATTGCTAGGACGTCTGCGTATCCTAGACACTGGTAGTCTTCTTTGGACAATGTTTTGAGTAAGTCGGGTTAGACCCTAATGACCATGCCTTTTTTTATTTTTTAAATTATTCGGTTTTAGGAGGTGGACAAATAATACTTTCGATTGGACAAACGTGGGACAAATCGTGTACAATCGAATGCCACTTTGAATTTAATAAAAAGTTTTTATGACGGTATTAATGTCAAATTTTGCTGACATTTTTAATTTTGTCCATCCTTTTTTTCAAGGACATTTTTATTGGACAAACGTGGATAAATCGTGAACAAACGAATGCCAATTTTGTTTCGTAAAAAATCGCATTTAGCGGAGATAACTTCACGGATCTTTATGTTCGATTTATACCAGATGTTATAGCCAAAATACGCGTTTACTATACCTTTGTTTTTAAACGTAGTTATCTATTGTTGCAGCGCAGAATCCTTATGACGATGACGGTCAGTCAGTGACTGATTGTTGTTAAAACAAGCCCATGATCAGTCTCCTTTCATAATTGATATTTCTACTGCATTTACAACGATTTAGTAAATCCTTAGTTTGTGGATAAAAATATACATTTTGACAGATTTATTATGGTTGAGTTCTTATAAAATCCATGATAGAATATTTTAAATTCTAAAATGGAGATGCGACCAGTAGGAGGCTTGTTCATTATTGATGATATACAAGATCATTGTACATAATATTTACCATTATAGCTTCCAGACACGCAGTTTGTGCGTTACTTAATTATGAAAGAAATCTTGATGTTAATGTCTCTTTTTATTATAAAAATTTCTTGATGAGATTTTAACGTTGTTCTTGTAGAGAAATCCCAAAATAGCCTATGAAGAGGCTTTAAAACCGGTCTTAAAAATATATCGTATATTTATAACAATTATGAGCGCAATATGCTTATCTTTAATTTAATAATTATGCAATAATTGCAGGTGTACACGAGAAACGAAGAAAAAACGCGAGGCTATTGCTTGGCTTACGTAGTCGCATTTGATAAACACTTCAATATGGCCTTAGAGGATGTTACGGAAGTGTGGACTAGAAGGAAAAAGAAGAAAATACCTGCGCTTGGTAAGCTACATTTTCATAAAATAAAATCGAAAAAAAAATTATTGTAAATTATTAATAATCGCATGTTTTCAATAATATTTAACAAACTATTCCACAAAGTGTTGTCAGTCTAGTACAATTGTATTAGATCTAGTACATTTTCTGAGAATCTGGTACTCTAGTACACTCGAAGGAAAATCTAGTACTTGCTCTTTTTTCAGCATTTTTCCATTTGACGTGTAAAATATATAGTTGTTGTCTTCTTTGTTTGTTGTGTTCGTGTTTTCTATAAACCTTTTTTTTGTTCTTTAATGCCACTTCGCAATTCGAAAAGTCTAGTACATTTTTATAGAATCTGGTACATTATTTTCACAAATCTGGTACATTACAAAATTCTGGCAACACTGATTCCACAGCTTTACTTTGAGATGATTACTCATATTTGTAACAATTATTGATACTGAAGTTATTTGTACCAAAGCTCATTACATCTTTGAAACTCATCCATCATTTGTTTTCTATGAGGATTTTGAGCAGATTTGGTTTAATTGCTCATTGTTTATTCTTTTAATTTTTAATTAAAGATCCAAATTTTATTTCTGGAATCTTCGAATACTCTTTCTCAGATTTTTGGATTTTAAATAAATTGTATTTAAGTAAATTGATTCGTTTTTTAATGCAAACATCAAATTTCAATCTAAAATGCTAAAATGGATCACGTTGAATATAAAAAATTATATTTTTTTCTTCTTTCCATTTATCCTTCACATATCTCCAAAATTCCTTCAATTCATATCTTTCTTGATCTGCCTTTTTTTGCTTATATATGGACATTAGTTTATAATTTCAGTTGACAATCTATAGGTGTCAATTCATACTACATGTCTAAACTATTCTAGATATTTGTGTTTTTTATTACACCATTTGTGAATCTGTTTCAGTTTGTCTTACCTTTTTATTTTAACATCAATTTATTATTAAAATACTTTCAAGTACTCAAAAGTTAACACCATCACCTAGGTATTCCAGTATATTTCCTTTACAGTTTATTCGGCAACTTATACTATGTTTATTCCGTTTGTAATTTGTGGCATCTCATTTATTAATTTGTGTTCCTACATTATCCCTTTGTATAGTCTAAAATGCTACTATACGATCAATAAATGTTAAAATAAGTAATTAAGAATTTTGTGCTATTAAAAATTGAAAATTTTAAAATACAAATCATTCTTTTTCCATGTGTAATGGTATTAGTTTTTGTAGTGTCTCTTCTGACTTCCAAAGCCATTTTAAAATCGACCTGAGAGACTTCAGGTCAGGGGCCAAAACAAACAATTTGCATTTAAATCGATTTTTAAATTTTGGACCGGTATTGGTGATGCAGTATCCGCATAAGAGTCAATAATGTTTCATTGAACTTTAGCTATTTCTAATATTTTGTCAAAACAGGTTTTTTACAATATTTCGTGTTGTACGGATTATTTTTACTTATACATTTATCTTAATCCCGCTATTCACTTCTTTGGATTTTGATAGTTCGTCATTTATTTGGCATTCTTTGTAGGTATTCAAATCAATTATTTAGTTCTGTCCACTATTGGATGTGCAGTTTCAATTATCTTTCTCTTTCTAGTTTTTCCTGGTATGTATCATCCATTTTTTATCCATAAGAACAATTCATTATCATTCTATTCACTTATATTTAGTTTGGTTTGATGTGTGAAATATCCTTTCAGATAGCGCAGAATCAGTCAAAAAATTTAAATTCCAAAGGCAATTCAAACTTCCCGAAATAAAAGTCACCCCACACCAGACTCAGAAAAAATTGGAAGTTTGCACCAGGCACCTCGATCAGGTTATGTTAAGAGGAGAACACGTGGCTTTGGTTATCGTTGTGAACCAAGATAAAACTGACGTCAAAGAAGATCAAATAAAGGATGTTAAAGAAGAAAATGTTAAACAATAACTATTATTTAAAAACTGGCTGTTGAGTTCTGTTATATTGCAAAAAATATATTGAAAGTTTGATTAGATGTTTAATTGAGTAATTTTTAAAGCAAAATAAAATTTGTTTATAAAATAGTGTTTTTTTAATCTTAAGGTGTTTTATTAATTTCCAGGTAGAAACAGTATTTATTGGATTATTTATATTTTTATTGGATGCCGTCTAATTACCTAGGTATTGAAAGGATCCGAGTTGGATGCCTTTGGGATTAATTGGATTTTTGCGAAATGTTATAAAAACTTTAATAAATTACTACCATTTTTACCATACCTATAAACTTAAAAATGACTGATTGGGAATAAATCTAATTTTTAACTACCTAGTTTTATTTTCTAACGTTATTGATTATAAAATTTAATCCCCTGCAAGGTAAACATTTTCTTCTAATTTCTTTTAAACTGTCATTAAGATTATTTAAGTGGTTATTATGTAGTTATTAAACTTATAACATTACGACTGTTACTTACACTTAAATAGAAGGAAGGGGTAAAGAAAAATATTTCGATAGAATTAGTAGAAGTCGCGAACAGGATGAAAACATATGTTTAATTAAAGATATAATAGGTATTTAATACAATGGTCTAAAAAAATGTAAAAATTGATTATATATTGTGCAGCGACCCCTTCGGGGACACTGACAGGTTGAAAACATATCCAATTAAAGATATAGTAATATTTAATAAAACAGACTAAAATATATAAAAATTGATTAAATATTATGCATACGAAATTTGTCCGGAAAAAAATGGCGCCCGACAAAAAAATGAGATAGGGAGGGACAAATAATAAAAAAATCATTAGATGTTAAAACTAGTTTTCTGTTTGATTTGTTTGTTTTGTTTTTGTTTGTTTTTGTTACATTTAATACCAGACCGTTATCTTTACAATACTGGTTAAACTCACGAGATGCCTCGTTGCTACTTTGAGTGACCTGTTCAATTTGATCATCTTCCATTACAATATTGGTATCATCGGCATATTGAACTATTTGTTGAGAGCTTAAACAAAAATTACTTATATCAATTATAAAAACTATAAAAAAGTGGGCCCAAAATTTTTCTTTGTATTTGTTTGTTTTTTTGTTGTTTTTATTTGTTTGTTTTTGTTTTATTAGTTAGTATTTTGTTTGTGTTTGTCTGTTTTGTTTTTATTTGTTTGTTTCTATTTGTTTTTGTTTGTTTGCGTTTGTTTGTATTTGTTTATATTTGTTTTCGTTTTTGATCAGGCACATCATTGGATGTTAAAACTAGTTTTCTGTTAGATTTGTTTTTGTTTGTTGTTTATTTTTGTTTGTTTTGTTTGTTGTTTATTTTTGTTTTATTATTTGGTATTTTGTTTGTGTTTGTCTATTTGGTTTTTATTTGTTTAATTCTATTTGTTTTTGTTTGTATTTGTTTATTATTTCGTTTTTTGAATTTAATGAATATATATATTCTTATTTTTCCTTATTCAAAAGTTTTGATCAGGTACATCATTGGATGTTAAAACTAGTTTTTTGTTTGTTTGTTTGTTTTTATTTGATTTGTTTTTGTTTGTGTTTGTTTGCGTTTGTTTGTATTTGTTTATATTTATTTTCGTTTTCTGAATGTTATGAATATATATTCGTATTTTTCCTTATTCAAAAGTTTTGACCAGGCACATCATTGGATGTTAAAACTAGTTTTTTTGTTTTTGTTTGTTTTGTTTTTGTTTTATTAGTTGGTATTTTGTTTGTGTTTGTCCGTTTTGTTTTTATTTGTTTCTATTGATTTTTGTTTCTGTTTGTTTTTATTTGTTTGTTTTTGTTTGGTTTTGTTTGGGTTTGTTTATATTTGTTTTCGTTTTTTGAATGTAATGAATATATATTCTAATTTTTCTTTATTCAAAAGTTTTGATCAGGTACATTATTGGATGTTATAACTAGTTTTTTGTTTGTTTGTTTTTCTTTGATTTATTTGTTTTTGTTTTATTAGTTAGTATTTTGTTTGTGTTTATCTGTATTTGTCTGTTTTGTTTATATTTATTTTCGTTTTCTGAATGTAATGAATATATATTCTTATTTTTCCTTATTCAAAAGTTTTGATCAGGTACCTCATTGGATGTTAAAGCTAGTTTTTGTTTGTTTTTATTTTTTTGTTTGTTTTTATTAGTTAGTATTTTGTTTTTGTTTGATTTTGTTTGTTTTTATTAGTTAGTATTTTGTTTTTGTTTGATTTTGTTTGTTTTTGTTTGTTTTTGTTTTTTTTTGTTTTTTTTTTTTTGTTTGTTTTTGTTTGTTTGTTTTTGTTTGTTTTTGTTTGTTTTTGTTTGTTTTTGTTTGTTTTTGTTTGTTTTTGTTTTGTTAGTTGGTATTTTGTTTGTGTTTGTATTTCTGTTTTGTTTTTATTTGCTGTGTTTGTATTTGTTTGTGTTTGCGTTTGTTTGTATTTGTTTTTATTTTTTGAATGTAATGAATATATATTCTTATTTTTCCTTATTATTATTATTATGACTTGGTGTTCGTAGAAAAAAATAATGTATGAAACTCACGTTTAATGGCTATTAAAACCCTCGTATTAATTACGACACTCGCCAAGGCTCGTGTCGTAATTCTCGTGTCTTAATACCTATCATTATTTTTTACCCTGGTGTTATAGATAGTTTTTCATCAGGTGTAAATGGGTACTTATTTCTGTTGCAAGAAAGCTTCTTGATGCCATCTTTTATCAAGCTGAGAATATAATTGAACTGGAATATTGAAAGTTAAATTTCTGAAAAAATCCTTCCCTTATTTCTAACTTTAAATATGGCATAATTTATGACTCTCGGTTCTGTGCACATTTGAAACAATTTCTCATCTAACATTTCCTTAACCAGGAGATATTTAACTAATAACTTCTTTTTCTTACTAACACTCATCTTCATTTAGCAAACTTAACACGCTACCTCCTTAGTACAACTCTGTGAACAAACTAACGACAACTTTGGTGTTGTTTGTTAGCCCAAAACAAACAACATTTATAAGCACCGTTCTCAGGAAATATTCTCTAATAACTGCGATCATATTTTGTCTGAGACCGGTCGAATACACGTATCCCGATATCAACACTAGCCAGTATTATTATGATAATAATAATAATAATAATAATAATCGACTTTATTGTTTTTAGTATAACAAGAATACATTTTTATAACATTTAATTTATACCATAAAAACAAAAGGCGAAGTTCAATTTATCTGGTGACGGATCACCAGTAAATTGTTCTTCCACTTAACCTGAAATGAAATGCCGCAAATCTAGTGCAAACAATAAAACATAATTCCTTAATAATAATAATAATCTGCCTTTTCTCTAAACAAAATTTAATTACTCATATTTTTAATGTCTCAACGCAACGATTCATCCTTTACCGTTCAAATAAGAATTTTTTAATAGCCCTTTTAAATAGTTTTACAGTGTAAGTTTTATATAGTGCTGGGATATCATTATAAATAGAACATATTTGGTAAGTAAAGCTACGTCTAAAAAGTTCCAACCTGAAAAAAGGAGGGGAAAGAATACCTTTATATCTGACATTTAGATTGTGAACATGAGTCCGATATGTTACTTTTTTGTGCAAGTATGAAGGTGTCTTATTAACAATAATTTTATGAAAAACAATTGAAAACGCTATGCGATTACCGCTCAGCGGTGATCTATTAGTATTAGCGATAATCGTCACAATCGCTGTTGCAAAACGCACCTTTAGTAATTTAATGTAATATTCAGGGTGTTTCTAAATTCATGAGACAAAATTCAGCAGGTGATTGCTCGTATGAAATTAAGATGGATCTTTCCTATAACAGCCCACCCACCCCTTTCCGAGATATCACCCTTAAAAGGTGGTGACTAAAATTCAGTTTTTAAAAATTTCGGTAAAGCTAGAAACTTGAAATTTTGTAATTTTCGTGCACTCTCAAAAGACTAACCACGGTTATTTTTTCAAGGTTATGATTCGTATTACATTTTACATCTTTACTGTTTTCCACTCAAAAAATATAAATTATAGTGTTTATTTTTTTTTCTCTGAAGCTATTAAGAATAAAAATTTTTTTAAATAAAACAAGGATTTTAAGTTATAATTTTATTTCATAAAACTTCATCTCGAAAAAAAGTTTTGATATGAAATAAAGTAAGGGTTGCTAATTTCACCCCCCCTATAATGTAACAGGAATACTGAAAAAATACCCGTGGTTAGTCCTTTGCGAGTGCACGAAAATTACAGAATTTTAAGTTTCTAGCTTCACTGAAATTTTAGAAAAAAAAAAAAAAAACTCAATTTTAGTTACCACCTTTTAAGGATGATATCTCGGAAAGGGGTGGGCTGAGGAAATTTTGTTATAGAAAAGACCCATCTTAATTTCATAAGAGCAATCACCTCCTGAATTTTGTCGCATGAATTTAGAAACACCCTGTATAAAGTTTGTAAATAAATGTTTTTGATATGTATCTGTGTTTTCTTCATATTCCTGGACATATGGCAACAACGACGGATATTTGTATGGATTTAAATTTTATTCTAAGAAAGTATTTCGCATCCAACTCGTACCGTCTCTTTTTGGATTTTTTGGTAGTACGGATTAAGCGGCATCCAACTTGATTGTGCCCATCTGAACATACGTGATTAGCGAATCATCTATTTGACTCTTCATCACCCACAAAACTACGTTTGTGTTTTCATAGTTTTTATTAAAAATATTGCAGCTATTGTAAATGTTGCCAAATTAATTACACTATTACATTGGTGCCAATTTTAGAACGCAAGCATTCAAGAAGACGTTACATTAATAACGAAATTTTTTTCTTTTTTTAAACTGTTCGTTCTTTTTTTCTAGATTATTTCGGTGAAACCCGTAGGGATATAAACTTGAAAACAAAATTTTAAACTTAGTTATTTAAATGGCGTATTTTTTCGGTTTCGTACAACAAATGTGCGTGGGACGAAAATAAACATTTGAAAATGTCATAGCATTCCAGAAATTTTCGGCAATGGCCTGTTTTAATTCTGCGTCAGAATCGGACTTGAATTTTTTTGAACAGTTTTTACTGCAATGTTTTAGATGTGGTTAAGTAGTC